TAGGTTGAGATGTTGTTACTAGGAGGCTGCTGTTAGGCATGCATGACTCTCCCCTGGGAGAGGCTCTGCTCATAATGCCTCTGTGTGCATAACACTTTACTGTGTACAAAGCACTATCATATGCATGATCTCCTTTGAGGTTTTGTGTAACCCTGTGAAGTGGGCAAGGATGGTATTATTATCTCCAATTAAAAGATGAGACTATGGAGACTCAGAAGCTTGTCTGATTCCTGTGAAGGAGCCACAGCAGGCATCATTATCCCATTTTACAGATGATGCAACTAGATCCCAGAGATTTACTTAAGAAAATGTGGCTAATGAGTGGCAGGGCCAGAACTAGAACTTGAGTCTTTGACTTTCCTGTCCAGGGTCTCGTTTTTAAGAAATACACGGCACCCAGGGTGAGTGTATCCAATTAGCCAATTGTATTATCTAATAGAGAGGAGTCCTGATGTGGTGCTGTAGGATAAGCACTGTACTTCTAATCGCAAGGTCAGTAGTTCAAATCCACCAATTGCTCCTCAGAAACCCTATAAATTTGTCACTGTAAATTGGAACCAACTCAACAGTACTTAACAGAAACAAATAGAAGGGTTGTAGGGGTCTTGACATGAGGCTTTCAGGGAGGGGAAGGGATACAAAGGCAGTCAGGAAGGGCTGGAGTGTGGGGACTCAGGCCCCCTGAATGGCCTGGCTGGGTCAACTTGAAGGCAGAGGTTCAGAGATATATCCAGAGGGATAGGCAATGAGGACACACATGGCCTGTTTTGGAATTTTGTTTTGGATGGACCCTGATGGCCGAAGCAAAGGAGCAAGCCTTAGCTCTGCCAAGGCACAGGACCTGCCCATTATCTGGGCTATGGGGTGAGTCACTTTCCCAAGGCTGTTTTTACTATTAGGACTGGGTTAAAATTACCAGGAAAAACCTGCTGGGGGAAGCAAAGCTTCATTCTAAACTCCTGTGGCTATTTCTTTAGAATTCTGAATGGAAACTCCTCAGCTCCAGTAGAAGGTGCAATGAGGGGAGGGGAGAGAAAATGAATGAGAAAATTCCTGGATGGAAGGTATGGACATCAGATTTTTTTCTGCTCCCTAACAACGTTTGTTTAGGAGTTAGCATTGGAAGAGAGGATTGTGAGGGACTCAGAAGAGGAACAAAACCTTCTGAGCAATATACTGACCTCATTTGGAAAGCTGCAATGAGCCCATTTCCTGAGCAGCAAGCCTCTTTGAATGTGTGTCACAGGGAGCAGGGACCTCCCCAGGAGACAGTCCAGATGGCCAAGGATGACTGGGAAGTGCCTGATTGGGAGGGACTCTCCCACGGGTGATTTCAAAATGCACCCAAGCAGCTTTATCCCAGCAGGGCACTTGGAGGCTCAGTCTTAGGCCTGGAATGTACAGGACTATAGACAACGGTTTGTATTTGTCTCCTGGCTTAGGCTGAGAGAAGGGAGACCCATGGCTGCCTTTCCATCCTTAGGCCTGCCCTTGTTGTTAAGTGCTGTCGGAGTCAATTCTGACTCATAGCAACCCTGTATAGGGTTTCCAAGGAGCAGCTGGTGCATTTGAACTCCCAATATTATGGTGAGCAGTCCATTGCTTGTCCTACAGCACTGCACCAGGACTCCTAGCTCTGCCCTGGTTGTCTATAATTTACAATTTTTACTGTTTCTTCCCACCGTGGCCAGTTCTTGAGTTTTGTCTCAAATACACCCTATGGAACCAACTAAAACCCAGCCCGCTGCCACTGCCATTGAGTAGATTCCAACTCATAGCAAACCTGTAGGACAGAGTAGAACTGCCCTCCACCCTCTAAGGAATTAGATGGTTTTGAATGAGAATGGAGATGTGGGTTCAGATGGCACTTCCCCTTGGTCTTAAGCATCATGGCTACTTGAGAGCCCATGGATCAAACAAAGTCAAGAAGAGATGAAATGTATTATTTAGGCTAACTCATTGCTATCTAGTTGATCCTAGCTCACACCAACCCGATAGGACAGAGTAGTAGATGCCCCATAGGGGATCCAAGGCCAATGTGACATTGTGGGTTGATGCGCCAGACTGCAAAGCTGTTTGGACTGCAAGGTCGGCGGTTCAAGCTCATCAGCTGCTCCTCGGAAACTCTATACAGGGTCGCTATGGGTTGGAACCAACTCGACAGCACTTAACAACAACAACCTTTATAGAAACAGACTACCACATCCTTTACTCATAGAGCAGCTAATGGGTTTGAACCACCAACCTTTTGATCAGCAGCTAAGTGCTTAACTACTATACCACCAGGGCTCAAATCTTAATAGTTCAATACAATAGAAGTTCATTTTAAGCACAGTAAAATCCCAAACAGGTGTTCTCTGATCAGAGGTGGTTCTCTTCCAGACAGTGATTTAGGGACCCAGGCTGTTTGCATCTGTGGTTTCACCATCTTTAACCCATGGCTTCCTGTTTCCATTGAGGGGCAAAGAACATAGAGAAATGGCAGATTTACATGGGTTAAGTCTATATGAGACATTGATCCCTTCCACTCACCTTCTACTTAGCCCCATGGCTACACCTAAGGAATGCTGAGAATTAATCTAGCTGTGTGTCTGGGGGAAGAATAAATGACTGTGAACAGCTAGGAAACCTCAAGAGACACATGCCTTCATGGAAGTACACTTGCATATGTGTGTATGTGTGTGCATATGTACATGTGTGTTCAGGCAGAGGCAGAAGAGGCTGTCAGAGGTGAGGGAGCTGAGTCCCTGTCAGAATGACTGCAGCTCTATTCCTTCTCTTTCTTTCTGTCTTCTCACCATTTGTCTTGGGTTAGATCCACTCATGAGTTGGAATCAACTTAGACAGTAACTAACAACAACTGCTTCATCCCTTCAGCTGAACCCCTAACCTAGTCTAGCTCACTTTCCATCTACCCCCCAAAAAGCTACCAGAATGACCTTTCAAGGGCCTAGGGAATCCATCCTCAAGATCAATTGGCTCTTGTAAATTGGTTTGACAAAGGTGGGGGGAGGCCGCTGTCCATTTCTATTCTTTTGAAAACACAAAATTATAAAACCTTAACCAGACAGCAGATATGTTAAAAATGATTCCTTTATATTACCAAAGGAGTCTTTGTTTTTCAGTTATCACGTTGTTGTTGTTGTTAAGTGCCATTGAGTCGATTCCATCCCATAGCTACCCTGTATAGGGTTTCCGAGTAGCAGCTGGTGAGCTTGAACCACCAACCTTGCAGTTCAAACGGCTTTGCAATCTGGCACATTAACCCACAGTGCCACACCAGGACTCCTTCAGTTATCATAGGACCCTAGTAAATGTCAAGACTTTAATTAAAACCCTGATTAGAGGAATCAAGGACTATTAGGGCTAGAAGGTTTATAGATTATTTAATCCAATCATAATGCTCTGGGATCACATTTGTTACACAAAGCAAGGTTCACCTGGATGAGAAAAGCCTCATACTGTGCTCCCTGCTCCCCATCCTATTACTCTCTTGATCCACCAAGCACCTCCCTTACTACCACATCGACAGTCTTTCTTCTATTTATTCTTTCCCCCAGCTTTCAAGCACGTTCAAGTGTCTTCCATCTTAAATTCTGCCCACAACAGAAACCCCTTCTAGTTCCTTGTGATCTATCTCTTGCCTTCTGTATACTCTCATCTCCTGGACTCTCTGCAAGCCAACTCCATCTTGCTGAAATCTGCCTCCAGTCACTGGGTGAAGTCACAGCTATCATTACTTTGCACAAGCTTGTCCCTTTGGGTTACCTTTTCCTCTCTTTCCCTGCCTGTCCCCTGCCACTGGTAACTACTGGCCTGCCTTTATGACTTAACACAAGCTTCAGGAAGCATTTTCTGAGTAACTGGTTCTGGACAAGATGCTACTTCTCTGTTGCATTTATCACAGTCTAATTAATTATATATTTACTTGCCTTCCTCCCTGGAGCTCACAGACTGTCTTGTTCAGTGTCCCTGGAGCCTGGCAATAGTAGGGACTCAATAAATGACAGCTGAGTGATGGAACAGATTCATCTTTATTACACAAGATGAACTGGCTGTTCACTCTGCCTTCGAGGCTCAGTCTGGTTTCAGTGTTTGGCATCTAAACACCTAAAACACCGTGGTTCCAGTGTTTGGCATCTTTCAGCCAGTGGGATGCTTGTCTCAAACATGGACAACTGAGGCTGGAGAAGCAGAAGAAAGAACTCTGTCCTTCAGTGAAACTGAGCCCACTCCCCTCGAATGCTACAATCTGTGTCAGTCCACAGGCAGGGGGCACAAGGGACAGAAATCATTCTACGCCTTCCTACCAGGATAGGGAGCGCTTCAAGTTCTGGCCTCAGTCCACTTAATCCACAGTCTTCTCTGGGAGATTTTGGACACTTGTGGACCCCTGATTTCCTGTGGGAAAACATGTGCTGGAAACATGTGCTGGAAACATGTGCTGGACATGGAAACCATCCATGCTTCTCTCTGGCCTGAACCATAGCTTGGCCTGAGATGGAATCCCCCTTTTCCCTTGGGTCCTCCATTTGCTTCTCTCCTGTCCCTCAACATGATTGCAAGTGCCAATAGCAGGGCCTGAGGCTAGTCTTATTCATCAAAGATAGGGGCTGATGAGTTGTAAACACTCAACACTTGCTGAATGAATCAACATGGGGGCCAGGAGAGAATGAGTCTATGACTTGCCATCCAAGAGGTCCTGCTACTTTTGTTAGGACTAGTTCTATTGATGGTTCCAGAACCTCTCATCTTGGTTCAGCTTTGGCCCGGCTTCAGGCTTTATCTAGAACTTTGCAGGATAGCTCAAGGCATCTTCTTGGAAAATCTCCACAGTCCTGCTTCCGGTTGGTATTCCTGGAACACGTGCAGAGTGACCAACTCCTATCCCAGTTTGCCTGGCACTTTCCCAGTTTAAGCACTGAGGGTCCCATGTCTAGGAAAGCCCTCAGTCCCAGAGAAACAAAGAGGAATGGTCAACCTCAGCACACACCTGCTTTATGGCTCCTCAGGTCCACAATCTGCAGGAGCTCCGGCGAAGTGCCTCCCTGGCCACCAAGGTCTTTATCCAGAGAGACTACAGCGAAGGCACCATCTGTCAGTTCCAGACCAAATTCCCTCCAGAGCTGGACAGCCGGGTAAGGAGTCCCTTTCTACACTTGGAACACAGGCTGGGTTAGAACTGAGGGGCTAACTTGAAGGTATGCTCTTTTCCAAAGATAAATTTCATAAGACACATAATATATTCAACCACTTCCCATGGAAGAAAACAAATGATCCTTAACACTTTTCTTGGTGTCTCTTCATAGGAAGAACTGAAGAAACCTCCAGAGATCTTCTAGCCCAATCCCAAACCTATTGCTATTGAATAGAGACCCACCCTACAGGACAGGGCAGAGGGTTCCAAGATGGAGGATCTGCTCTGGACTGTGTGCTGCTGTAGGATCTGCTCTGGACTGTGAACCACAACATCAGCAGTTCAAACCCACCAGCTGCTCCTTGCAAACCCTATACAGGGTCTCCATGAGTTGGAGCTGACTCCACGGCACTTAAGAGCAACAACCTTTATAGAAACACTGCCGATCTTTCTCCCATAGAGCAACTGATGAGTTTGAACAGCAATCCTTTTATAGTTAGTGATTCAGTGCTTACTCACTACCCCACCAGGTCTCCTTTCTTCTAACCCAATAGTTTCTCAGATTTCTGTTGGCATGATAATCACCTGGAAAGTTTGATTTCAAAAGCAGTTCTTGAACCCTGTTCCATGCTGTCTTAGTTGGTGGACTGGGATCTGGATCCATTTTTAAAAACAGCAGTGGTCAAATTAGAGTTCCCTGGGGAGCTTTACAAATCTTGATGCCCAGGTTGCACCCAGACCAATGCATCAGTAGGACTTTAAACCTCCCCAGGTGATTCCACTGTACAGCCAGCATTGAAGACCTTGTTTTTACTCAGAATCTCCAGGTGACCTGGAGTCAGGTGATTCATAGATCACCCATTGAGAATCACGGGTCCTCTAGAATTGTATGGCGTCTCAGGCTTGGCTGCACATTAGTATCACCCCGGGGACTTCTGAACACAGTGCTTTGCAGGGAGTCAGTTTGGGTAGGGTAGAGCAGACTTGGGCTTTGCTGCTCTGACACCCCATTTGACTCAGAATCTCTTGGGGACAAGATTTGAGCATCTGTAGGTGTTAAAAGCTGCTCAGGGGGCTCAGTTTACATCCAGAGCTGAGGAGTACCAAGCTCTTGTTAATCAAACTATGGTCTGTTGGTCGGCATTATTAGCATCACCTAGGAGCTTGTTAGAAATGTAGACTCTTAGGCCTCACTCTGGATCTCCTGAATCAGAATCCACGTTTTAACACAATCTGTAGGTTATTCGTGGATGCATTAGGTTTAGAAGCACTGCACTAGTTTACAGCTTTCATTTCACAGAGGAAACTGAGGACCAGAAAGGGAACATTTCTGACTCATGATCTAAAGCAAACCAGCAACAGTACCAGAGTGCCTCGGTTTGTGCCCCGACTCTTGGCTTCACACACGACTTGTATTTTCTTACGGACGCAATTACATCCTGACTGAATAGGTATGAAAATGCATGCCTTTGTGGTCAGAGTCTTGGCAAGGAAATCCTGGAGTCCTAGAGGAAAGAGCTGGTGGCTGCTCTTTGCTTTGTCTCCCTGCCTTGGGTCCAGGGACAGCTTGATGCTCCATCAGAGTCTGGTGCCATCAAAGGCAATCAGCAAAAACTTCCACCAACAGCCTTTTCCTCTAGACTCTACTACTTGGGAGACTCCAGTCCAGTGGCCCTCTTACAGGGTATCGTCTCCTTATGCTGTTCTTGTTGTTGTTCTGGGGTGGTCTAGGGAAAGGATAAAGGGATGATCTTGATCCCTTCTTTCAGCAGCTCAGGCAGGTAGACCTGAATGGGTTTGGCAAGGTGCGGCAGGGCCGTTCTTGGCCTATCTGATCCCAACCAGCTTTTGGGGAGCAGTGGGAGTTTCCTCATCTTAGTATGCCTATTTTATTGATTGGGGTGACCCTTGGGGTAGAGTAGCAGCTCTTGAACCATGGACTAAATAGACAGAGTTTTCTCCGTGTTCTCTCCAGGTCTGTGTAGGGGCATAGACTTGTGACCCCAAATCTTCTGTTTATGTTCTGAGGAGTGCATTTGCACTAGACAGGCCCAGAAGGCCCCTAACCTGCATGATGAACAGTTCTAGCCTTGTAGGGGTTGGCGTGCTCTGAAGAATGTAGGTGGGGTCACGGACATTTGACATCTGCTCAGTTCGGAACGTGGCCTTCCTGGTTGTCTGGTGTAGAGAGCTACATGGTAAAGAACTTAGACTCTGGGGTCAGAGATATGTAACACTGGACAGGTCCACTCAGTGTCCAGTAAGCATTTAATGAGCACCTACCATGTATGAAGGAGCCCTGGTGGCATAGTGGATTGATTACCTGTTGAGCTCTTATCCACGAGGCCAACAGTGTGAATCCACTAACCAACCTGTAAGAGAAAGATGAGGCTTTCTGCTCCCATCAAGATGTACAGCCTTGGAAATCCTACACAGGGTCACTATGAGTTGGAACTGACTCAATGGCACACAACCACCACCACTATGTATTAGGCCGGCAGGACATAGGAGTAACAAAGCCTCGTGGAGTTTATTTCTATTAGTAAGTACAGAAAAGACGTAAACAAACAAGCCCATATGCAGCTTGGTGTTGTTAAGTGCCACTGAGTTTGTTCCAACTTATAGCAACCCTGTATAGGGTTTCCGAGGAGCAGCTGGTGAGTTTGAACTGCTGACCTTGTGGTTAGCCGTCCAGTGCTTATCCTACAATACCAAAGCTTTGTTGTTGTTAAGTGCTGTCGAGTCAGTTCCGACCCATAGCTATCCTGTAAAGGTTTCCCAGGAGTTTCTTGTGAGCTTGAACCCCCAACCTTGCAGTTCAAATGACTTTACAGTCTGGTGCTTTAACCCACAGCAAAAAGAATAAGAGGTGGGTAAGGAGCTCTGGTAGTGTAGTGGTTATGAGTCAGGCTGCTAACCTCAAGGTCATCTAGTTTGAAATAACCGGCGGTTCCATGGGAGAAAGATGAGGCTTTGTGCTCCAGTAAAGATTTACAGCCTCTGAAATCCTATGAGTCGGTTGCTATATCGGAACTGACTCCACCGCACACCACCACCACCAGAGGAAGATAGAGAGCTAGGGGGAAAGTGGATGGTTGAGAAAGTGTGTTGGATAAGGTGAAACTTTAAGAAGAAAAGTATGGGCCATGGGCTATCTGTGGGAACAGCATTTTAGCTGAGGACATGGGCACAAAGGATCCAAGATCCAGGCACACTTAGCACTTTGAAAGTGTGCTGAGAGGATGGTGAAGCTGGAATGAGATGGAGAGAAGGAGATGGGCTCAGAGGGGCAGCAGGACAAGACCTCTGGAAGGACGTCTTGCAGAGAGATGGGAAGACTTTGGAAGTTCTTGGCCAGAGATATGGCAGGATCTGACTTTCATTTTCCAGGAGTACTCAGGCAGGGCCAGGTTGGGACCAGGGAGACCAGCTGAGAGGCCAGAGGGAAGGATGGCTCAGACCACAGTGTAGCTATGGCTCAGTTTCCTTACACCCCCAAATAGGAGCGATAGAAGTGCTTTCTTGGTAAGATTGCTATGAGGGTTGAATGAAATATGTCTACTCCTTACTTAACAATACAGATTCCAAAGACCAGGTTGTTATGTGAAAATCGGTATTGTGTAAAAATGGAGGATTACTACAGCATTATAGAACTGCCAAATGGCATCATAACGTGACTCCCAAACCACCGAGAATCAGGGACCAGCCAAGTGGGCCCAGAAGCTCAGTCATCACAGTGTTACTCTTATTTCACATTGTGTCATTCATTACTGCCAGGTGTAGGTTGGTAATGCACAAAATAATGGGCTAGATTTTTAACTATAGTCATAAATGTGAAGTGTCAGATAACAAGATAGCTGGTAAGTGAGTAATGCATAAAGGGTGCACATAGCAAGTGCAACATAAACATTAGCTATTATTATGGATAGTCCTGTGTGGCGCTGCCGGAGGAGAATGCACTGGACTGCAAGGTTGGCAGTTCAAATCCATCAGCTGCTCCTAGGAAACCTTATACAGGGTTGTTATGAGTTGTAACTGACTTAATGGCACTTAACAGCAACAACAGAAACAATTACTATGGATACAGGCAGGATAGCTTTTCAGTTATCCAAACACATGAAGGAAAAGGCTATGGGAAAAGTGTTTGCTCTTAGGTAGGAGGAAGCAACGCCTCCTAAAGATACTTGTAGGTTTGCATCCTTCTGAGTGCACCTGGAGTTCCCACTGACTCAGCACTGAGCTCTGTGCTGCCATCAAGAACGAGGGGGCAGTGTAGTCCCCAGAATTTGTGTCTCATCTTCTGTAGAAAACATTCACATGTGAGCTTCCTGTCTTTGAGGGAAGGGGTCACATAATTATTCTTATTCCCATCTTAAAGATAGGAAACTGAGGTCCAGGGTGGTAAAACCATGGTTCCAAGGTCACATAGCTAGTTGTGGGTCAAGTCTGGACTGGAACCCAGGTCTCCTCTCAGTGTTCCTCTGCACCATCTGCCCCTGCAACCTCTCTGGTCTGGCCTGTGAGCCCATGTATCACCTCCACCTCGTGGCATCCCTGCAAGTGTCCCTGTGACCCTACCACTACCACCCCCGTGACTGTCCACATTCCAAGGAGGCTAGTCTCCGTTTGACTCCGTTTCCTCTCCCCAGATTGAACGGCAGCTCTTTGAGGAGACTGTGAAGACTCTTAACAACTTCTACGCAGAGGCTGAGAAGATTGGAGGCAGCTCCTACCTTGAGGGATGCCTGGCCTGTGCCACAGCCTACTTCATCTTCCTCTGCATGGAGACCCACTATGAGAAGGTGAGCCCCTCCCTGACCTTCCTGGACTTACCCCCAGGCTTCCAGCCTATGTGCTTATCCTCAGATGACCCTTCTTGCAGGTTCTCAAGAAGATCTCCCGCTACATCCAGGAACAGAATGAGAAGATCTTTGCACCTCGAGGTCTTCTGCTCACAGACCCCGTGGAGCGTGGCATGAGGGTTGTATCCTTCCTGGCTGTTCCATGTGAGGGCCACTCAGTGGGGACTCTGGAGTAGCCTGCTGGCTGTGTATAAGGCCCCCAGGAAATGGGCATCACCCCAGGGACCTCTTCTCAGGGTTGCCCAGGATTCCAGACATCACTGGTCACCTCCCCTGTAAGTTATCCATGCTGTTTGGAAACTTCAGGGTTTGCATCTATTCAGTGTTCCATATAAGCCAAAGATCATGCTAAGGACTTTGGAAATGAATTTATATGATTCTCAGTGAGGCAGGTGACTCTTCTTACCCCTTTAGAGTTGAGGACATTGAGGTTAAACCACTGGCCCCAGGGCCAGCTAGCTGGTGAAGGTCAGAGCCAGGAGTTGGACCCAGGCTCAGTTCTAACCATGAGGCTGTATTGCCCCTCAAGGAATATACACATGTGTCAAATGTCATGTGCACCAGCTTGTGTAATTCTCTTATGCAACCCTCCCTGTGAAGGAGGTCTCATGTTCCCCCTTTTGCAGATGAGAAAAGTGAAGCAACCTCCAGAGACTGACCTGTTGCTAGTCTGGATGGGGGTAAGTGGGGGTCGGGGGTCACATGAATCCACTCATTCCACCCAGAAGAGTACAAGGTGCACACAATCCCTCCAGGCTACCCAGCAGCAAGAGGAGGATTGTTTTGTTTATTATGTTTTTTAATTACTGGAAAACTCAGAGGGGAAAAAGTGAAAACACAGATTCTTGTGTTTACAAAGCCCAGCGGGAGATGCTTGTTTTTATTAAGTCTTTACCGCTGTTTAGTGCTTTGCATGGAGTCCTGGTGTGGCACTCTAAGAGAAGCACACTGGACTGAAACCGCAAAGCCAGCGGTTCAAACTCACCAGCTGCTTCTTGGAAACCATATACAGGGTCACTATGAGTCGTAATTGACCCAATGGCACCTAACAACAACAGTGCTTTCCACACATTATTTCTTTTAATGCCCACAATAGTTCTCAAATTCTCTTGTCCCCATTTTACAGTTGTGATCATTGAGTCACAAGTTAAGTGACTTGTCTGAGGTTACAGAGCTTGTGAGTGGGGGAATCAGGATTTAAACTCAGGACAGTGGTCTCCATCCCCAGTAACTAGATGAGGGAGGAGCCTGGTGGACTGGGTATTTAGTCTTCCCGTCGCCCTTAGCCTTACTGTGTAGGAAGCTGCGCAGGCTAGGCCTCCCCCATCAAGTTTCTGTGCAGCCGCCATATGGTTCCTTCCCTTAACTGGCCCACCAAAGATCGAGATCTCCATCTACGAGGACCGGTGTAGCAGTGGCAGCTCCAGCAGTGGCAGCAGTAGTGGCAGCGGTGGCAGCAGCGGCGGCGGGGGTGGCGGGGTGGGGTCCCGGTGACTGGCCGAGAGCCCCTGTAGGGAGGTGTACGGAGGCCGGAGTGAGGGCCTCTCAGACCTGCGGCGGCTGCGCTACCAGAGCACCCGCTTCTGAGTCATTTTCTGGGCTCACCCTACTGCCCAGGGTGGGAGGGAGGGTGGCTGGCTCACGTCCCTGCCCCTTGCCCCCAGCAGGATCTACCCCACTGCCTGCTGACCTTGCTCTCACTAAGGCGGGTCTAGGTCACATGGAGCCAGATCATCCTAGGGCGGGCTGGGTGGGGAGGATGTGATCCCGAGAGACTCTGACATCAGCACTTCCTCTATCACCCGGAGTGGGGCCTGGGCCTGCCCCCTAGAGAATTCCTGTCCTGCATGACTCCTCATCCCAAGTCCCATTCCAGTAGGGCTCCGGCCAAATGGCCTCAGCTGAGGAGACTGTCTCCCCTAGGGCTCTGCTCCCCAAGCCTGAATCCCACGGCTGTTCTTTCTGATGCCACCTCAGGCGCTGCCTGTCTATGACCCAGTCTCCTTGGAATTTGAGGTCTGGGGAGATGGGAGTGGCCAGCTATGGATGCCATGGTCATCCAAGGACCCTTTCTGCCCTCCACCTAGAGCCTGGGGGCCATCTAGCCTTGCCAGGAAGCATTCAAATCCTGGGACTTTGCAGGCCACCAGGCTTTGGTAGTGGGACACACAGACATGCTTTGGGAGATTCAGTGGAGGTCTGGAGAAACTTTGTGGAGAGATGTGGCCTTGTGGAGACTTGAAACTCCTGAGCTGGTGCCATCTTCCTGAGATTCGAACCTGCATGTGAGAATGAGTGTGCATGTGTGTGCACATGAGTGTATGTACACACACAAGTGAGTCCATGTTTGTGAGTTCATATGAATGTGAATGTATGTGAGTATATTTGTGTCTGCACATGTGTGAGTGCGAGTATATGCATGTGAGGTGAGTACAAATACATGTGTGTGCACATGTGTGTTCCTCTAGACTAGTACTGCCCCCTCTGCATTCTGTCTTGTCATAGCTACACAATGGGTTTGTCGCTTCTTTCATTGTGGGTCCAGCCTGGCCCCTGTAAATAAATGTTGTAAGGCCCCTCACTTTTCTTTCTGGGTCTGCCAGCTTGGCTATTCTTCCTGGCCTCCCCCTCCCTAGGGATTCCCCCATGTATGTGTATTGTGCAGAACAGGAGTTGAGGTCCTGGGAGGGCAGAGCCTTCTGTGCCCTCCCCTATAGGGCATTGGGACCACAGATGCTGCATATTCAGCACACCCCCCCCCCCCAGGGCTCTTTAAGGCCGTTTGAGGGGAAAGGCAACCCCTCCTCCTCCCCCCCCTCCAAGGGAAAAAGGGCCATCCAGTCAGACTGGGGAGGTGGGGTCCAGTGGGAAGGAAGACACCCCTACCCTGGTGCCCTGAAGGTTGATAGAAAGAGTTGCCTACCTCAGCCAGCAGGAGGTGCTACAACTAGACCTGAAAAGACCAGCCACTGAAGGTGGTTTTCTGGAACCAAAGAGGGGCCTGATGTGTGTGCAGCATGTGGGAACAGATGCTGACTCAGAGAGCTGAAGAGGGTTGGCCCAGCTCCCTGAGGTCCCCCAGGGGATCCTGGGCCCGAGTCCTTGTCCAAGGATTTCCCTGGAGGAGCTACAGCTAGGGGGCCCACTGCAGCCCCCTGAACCTGGCTTGTGCTTGCCCTGGCCCCCCTGTGTGGCTGGGCATGTGTCTGACCAGTGTCCTTCTGGGGGTGTGGCTGGGCACAGGCAAGGGGATGGCCTTTTGTTTTCTTGTTTTTTTTTCCAATAAAAGGATTGCCCAGCTTGAAGCTCTGTGCTGCTGTCTCTCCCGTGCTGATGAGGATGGTGCCCATGTCTAGAGTCAGATGCTTGGCTGCCTACCCATACCACACACCTGGAAGTGGGATTGAGCCAGCCACTGTGCTCTGTATGAGGCAGAGGACCGGGCACAGGGGAGCAAGGTGACTTTTCTTGGTGCTTACAGTCTAGTGGGGAGGGGACATTCTAGATCCTCTAATCTGGAAGACTTTGGGGAGCTTTCATCCTTAGGTAGGTGGAATAGGTTGGACTGATGAGCAGGTCAAAAGTAATTACCATTTAGTGAGCTTGTATTCTGGACTGAGTTCTGCTAGTGACCTGTCAACACTGAGGTTAACTAAGTGTTAGAACCTAGTAGAATTGTGTCTTGGATTTTATAAAAAACATATTGAGCAGCTTCTATGTGCTAGAGCCTTTGCTAAAACCATAAACTAGAGCTGGAAGGGAACTTGAAGAGCAACTGGCTCTCTTCATTTTGTAGTCGTGCAATAGGACCAGAGAGGGTGAATGACTTGCCCCAGGTCACACAGCTGGTTGAGGATGGCAGTGTTGAGCTTAGAGCTGAGGTCTCCTGACCAACTGAGTGTGAATGACACCATGGGAGTGGCACCCAGATGGGAAGTGACCTGAGGTTGTAGGGTGACCGGGACACACAATTTTCTGTTCCTAGAGAGCTGTCACCAGATTGGGAACAACCATGCAACCTGTGGGTGGGGCACTAGGGGACCCTTTCTAGGTGGCACTGAGAGGGGACTTACTGCCCCTAGGGATAGCTACTTGGCAGTCTCGACCCGGCTGCCTCTGCTCAAACTTTGTGGGGCCACACAGAGGCTGTTCCCTAACATGCGGGCAGATGCATTCTGTCTGCCCTGTTTGGGATGGATAGGAAGTGTATTCTGTCCCCAAGACAGACTTGAACTCTAGTCCATCTGGCTTGGAGAGGAGGTTCTGGTGAGGATTTCTACACTGGTAAATCCAACTCAATGCATATCTGGTTGAGAATCATTCAGTCCTACTTTCAATGAATAACAGCCAACACTGATGTAGCATTACTCTGGTAGGCACTAGGCTAAAACTGTACTTACTACACCATTAAATCTTCACAACAACACTCTATGGTGTGGACTATTATTCCCATTTTACAGACGAGGAAACTGAAGCTCATGAAAGTTAAGCAACTTGCCCAAGGCCACACAACTAAGAAACTGGCAGAGCTTGGCTTGAACCTAACAATCTGATTCCAAGCTGCAAGGAGGATGATAGCTCCAGATTCAGAGACCCCCATCAGCAGCTTGAGGTCCTCAGCCATTTTAAGGATAAGATTTGATAGATTCCCAGGAAAAACTTAAAGCCATGTCTGGACTCTGAGGCAGGGCTTCCAAGCACAAAGCATCAAGGGAATGTGGGTGTGCTGTGCTGGGGACGCATGGGGCTCACAGAGGCAGCCTGGTGAAGGGCAGCAGGGAGAGGCAGCAGGACTGTTATCTGTGTCTTCCATGCCCCTGCTCTCCCCTTGCCAGCCCACGACAGACCCCATTAGGACCAGGGGGCCCAGAACCCTGCTTGGGTCTCAGCCATTTGTACCCCCAGCTCGTGTCTGCAGGTTCCATCTACCCAAACACCTCCAGGCAGCCCTTCTCTCTCATTGCCGCCAGCACTCTCCGATCTCCAGCTTTCGGCCGGGTGTGCGTGAGATCACAGTTAACAGAAGCTCGAGGCGCCGTCAAGTGGTGTAATAGTGCACTGCACCTGAAATTAGAGGATCCTCCGAGAGACCAGTCACTGGAGGTTATCATGTTTGGTAAGGTGGAGGGTCAGAGAAAAAGAGGAAGACCCCCAGCGAGATGGATTGGCAAAGCAGCAGCATCAGTGGGCTCAAGCGTGGCAACAATAGTGAAGTTGGCCCAGGATTGGCCAGTGTTTCGTTCAGCTGTGCATAAGGTCGCTATGAGTCGGTATCGACTCGATGGTACCTAACAACAACCACCACCAGGCGGAGCTATTCCTTTTACTAAAACTTCACGCCAACAACTACTTCCAATTGACAAAGGGTTTTCTGTGGCTTCTAGAAGAGCAGGGCGACGGTTGTGTCCAATGGTGTTGATTTCCTCCCTGCAGCGAGTCCTTGGGGTAGCAGCATTCCTCTTGGAGGTTCCCCACCGCCATTCTCCACATTCCCTGAAGGACGTAGAGGAATGAGGGTCTCTGCCTGGCTGGAGGGATCCTCACTTGGTTTTGGCTTTACGGTTGACTTCTTCCAAGATCCCTGGTGGCGCAGTGGTTAAATAGCTCAGCTCCTATTTGAAAGGTGGTTGTTAAGTACTGTAGAGTCGGTTCCGACTTATAGCGACCTTGCATAGGGTTTCCGAGGCTGTAAATCCTTACAGGAGAAAGCCTCATCTTTCTCCTGCTGAACGGCTGGTAGTTTCAAACTGCCGACCTTGAGGTTAGCCCGACTCGTAATCACTACGTAGGTGACTTGAACTTACCAGCCACTGCAGGAGAACGATGTGGAAGCCTGTTGATGTAAAAATTAAGTGCCGTCGAGTCCGTTCCAACTCATAGCAACCCTGAATGGTTTCCGAGCGGCTGGTGACCTCACCACTGACCTTGCTGTCCAGTCTTATCCTACGGCACCACAAGACTTGGAAACCTATGGGGGCAGTTCTGCCTTGTCCTCTAGGGTCACTGAGTTGGAATGGATCCAAAGACAGTGGGTTTGGCTTCTCTGCCTCCCTAAGGATGAAAGCAGTGTGAACACTAGCTCCAAGTCAGACCTGCATTTGAGAACCCCCTTCACGACATTAGCACATGCCAGAGACTCCTAAAGACTCAGCTGTAACACAGGAACAAGTGGTTCTCAACCATGGCTGCCACTGGTGCCACCTGGGAACATGACAAGCTTCCCCTTATGCCTGGTCCTGTTCCCAGGTACTTTTGTTTTCATTGATCTGGGTGCAGTCTGCGCATCAGGATTTCCCAAAGTTCCCCTGGTGATTCTAATGTGAAGACAAGGTCAAGAGCCCCTTGTTTAGACAGTATGTGGAACCAATGAAAGGCCAGAAAGCCAATGGATGTGCTTGAGCTATGCGGATGGTAGGGAATATTGACTGTTCTCTGGACTATCAAAAGAAAGAACAAATCAGTCTTAGGAGAAATACATCCAGAATGTTCCGTTG